CTATATAACACGAACGGCGACAATAATTACACACAAACACACACACAAACAACGATTATGTAATCAATTGTGAATAATTTTCAATCAAAACATTGAAATAAATGAAAGTTGACGGTGACTGGAGCTATTTCTACATAGGTAGGTAGGTAGCTTAACGGATTGATTACAAGTATAGATAAAAATGTGATTTCCTGATCTAACCTAGAAATATCAGGCAAACCCCTTTTGGAAACCAAACCCTTTTGAAAAGTAATCTAATGCTCACACTAGTGACTGATTGACTGACTGACTGACCATAGGGATGCAGTTGCTAGGGGAGTTCTAGTGGTGAGAAGTAATAATCACTTACTTGGGAAGTACCATCAGCCCCAACGGGTTGATCGCAGACAAAATCTCAGAACGGATACAGAGGGCTAGTTTCGCATATGCCAGTTTACTCCGTCTCTGGCGTAGACGTGATATCCGACTATCGATCAAAGGACGTGTGTACTGCTCATCAGTCCGCTCCGTCCTCCTTTATGGCCAGCTGTGAGACCGGGCCACTAAGAGTGGAAGACATGAAAAGATTAACTGTCTTTGATCATAGGTACCTGCGCTCTATCTCCCGTGTGAAGTGGTATAATAAGGTGAGCAATACTGAGGTTAGGCGTCGAGTTCTAGGTAAGGAGAGGAAATCAATCGACGAGGTTGTGAAGTTACATAGACTGAGATGGTTAGGGCATGTGTTACGTATGCCTAGTCTTCGCCTTCCTCGACAATGGGCAATGTTAGCTGACATAGGGTAAGGGCTGGAAAAGAGCCAGCGGAGGTCAAACAAAAACATGGCACCAGTCAATGAAATCCACAACAGTTGGTCTAAGCCACGTAGGAAGATGTAGACTTCCTGACTGGTTGGGGTCCTCGGGACAGTAAAAATCTATGGTTGGAAACAATTGGTGACATGGCTCAAAATCGTTCTCAGTGGCGCAGATGCATCCACTCCTTGTGACTTATGATTTCCAATGAAACTGTTTTGTTCTTCGTTACTACTATTCCTTTATCTCACACCTCTCTATTATGCATTTCTTCTACTTCCTTCTCTTGCTTTGTGTGCTACACGGAGTGTGGCGACTTGAACTGCCGCACATATGTGCAAAGTTCTATGTCGAAAACAGACAGACAGACAGTAATGATTAGCAAGTTGAGTGTGAGGATCAGACAGATACCTGTCGATAACAATGACTGGTGATGGAAGAAGTTAGAACTGGTGACTGAATCACTAAAGGAATTTCCTTGTGATTTAAGGGGTGTTGGTTCAGTCATCATTAATGGGGGGGGGAGTGGGGGAATGAGTGAGTACTGCTGAAGAATCGTCACCAGCTGAGACAAAACAAGTGTCGAAAATTAATTCCCTGATTTGCAATGGTTATCTAGTTGACGTTACTTCATGCACTTATTCCCCTTGATGAATTTGAATAAAGCACGAACAACAGTGTGGTTTGTGCAGAATAATATGACGCCATCATTGCTTATTTCGTTGGCTTCTCATCAGTTCAACTGCTTACAGCCTAAATAAATTATGAGGTTTATGTACAGAAAAGTTTTAATATGCTTGCAAATTTTTCATAGTATCAGTTGACAGAAGGTTCCACAATTAGTGAACAGTGCTCAGAAAATTGAGCTTATATAGTTTTTACACAGGCAGTTCAAGTTTAAACAAAATAAATGTATGTATACATTGGTAAAGAAGTTACGTTATAAAGACGAGAGAGGCGCAAGATGCTGACTGACTAATAAATTAGGTAACAGTGTACTGAGTTCAACTCAAATCATAGAAACAAGAGACAAGCGAAATGGGGTAAGTTTAAAGACAAAGATTACGTAATCAAATGAAAGAGGGAATAAAGACATCCAATCACTAGAGCAACGAAAACTAATAACTGCTTCTTTCTGAACACATAAATCTGGGTTCAACCGTTTGATAGATATTGCTTCGGCAAACTTGAGGAGAATCGAGCTCCTTTGTCTATCGATAATTTTAAAGGATTACACCATTTTCACCTCATGACCCGTATCGAGGAGATGTCTGGTAATAGCGCTATTATAAGAGTTTGTTCCTTTGAGACGTAGGCTTTGAGACGGTAGATGTCCAAAAAACCGGAGGTGTGTCCTTCTTTCTGTTCCTCCAATGTAACTGCTCCCGAAGATATAAGTAAATATGTATACACAGTTGGAGAAGGGTATCTGTCGACTTTTGACTGCACCAAAGAGCATGTTGTTCGTTACTTTGTGAATGAACTTTGGATATACATGAGTAGAACTTTTCATGAAGTATATTACTCAAAGTTACCATAACTCTGAAACAGCTACGAAAGTGTTACTCAATAATCACTTGTACTTCTATGCGGTTAATAATTAGCCAGACCTATTGTGTATCAGAATTATGGTAGTTGGTGAGGGGAATTTATAACCAATAACCCAATGTAACTGATAATCAGGAGCCTAGCCGAGTGAATCGTAAATCGATTGATTTACAGAGTAATACTATCTTTTAATTTAACCATCATTAGTTAGTCAGTTAGAGCTGAGTTGTGTGCAGTGAGTTTTCATGTACCATACCATGATCTACACTTTTCGGATGGGAACTTATGATATCGTTCATCTGACGCCTAAGCTGAAGTAGGCAGAGCCGGATTTGAACCCTAAACCTTTCAGTTGAACATCGAGTGATTAGTCCAATAAACCACAACTCTACATCTGTCATTAGCTATCTACCTCAGTCCACATCATGTAGTAAAGTTGACAAGAGCTCAGCAACTCCACTCAGCGTAAGCTGGTAACGATCTACTCTTAACCAGCTCAGAGAAAAGTATTAAACACCTAAATATGTATCATATCTGACAACCCTAATGCACAAAAACAATTACACAAAGTCAATCAAAAACTTGACAAGAGATCAACTGGCAAAATCAAAATATGCATAATTTAAAAGAATGCAGACAATAGAAATTATATCATAGTTAAATCTGATTTAACCCACTTATAAAATAAAAAAGCCACAATCACAGTTGCAGATTGAATAATGAAGATCTTATTTTTGCCGTTTCAATTACATAACTAAAAAACTTGGAAATCAACTTAAGAGGAAGTACAGTTCTTAGACGGTTGGACTCAATCGACACAGGAAGCCCTGGCTAGCCTAGGTTTCGTGCTAGTTGGCACTCTCACTAGTCAACAAGGCGTATCTGCAACCTTGAAGGAACTCATGTCGCTCCCCCTGAGATTTGAATCGTGTCACCACCCAGTACTGAAGTCAGAGACGTTATCATGTTATCAGCTATTCGGGCTCACAATCGACCTCCTGTAGGACTAGACATACGATAATAGTTACTTTCTATCTAGTGTCCAATCAAAGTATCCAATACAGTAAGTCCTACGGGAAGACGACGGTGAGCCCAAATAACTCAGTAGTAACATCTCCGACACACTGTAGATCTAGATGGAATGGGTTCGAATCTCAGGAGGGAAATGATATGCCTTGTTGACTGGTGAGTGTACCAACAAGCACGAAACGTAGGTTAGGTCAAAAGCTTCCTGCCGATTGCCTTTAACCATATAATACCAACAATTTACAATGCACCGTGACGGCTATCCAGACACCTAGTGGACATGGTGTTCACATTGCAAACTTAACTGTGATAAAATTCAGTCTGCACCAAACAAAGGACTGGTGTTCAGTCAAAAAAGTATAGTTCACTCAAAGGATTACCAGTAAATAATATTGGGAGAATGTGAATCGATGGTTAAGGAGTAAAATGCTTGACAGCCACGCACGTGATTTGGGATTCGCTTCACAGCCGACACACTCCTTTACCACACCTGATAGGTAACAAGCGTTAGAAATAAGATAGGTGGAGCGTGAAGTTAGCGGATCCACCTCGTAAGTAAATACAAGCGCTACTGAAACTGCATAGCTTAAAGCTCTATATTCCACTCGGAACGATAAGGAACACAAAACGTGAAATACAGACTCATTACTAAAAGCCAACTGTATTACTTAGTAATGTTGCAGCAATGATCAACAGAAGGCTGAATACATCACTAGCCACAGCCAATCCTGCAGCTCAGCTCGTCCCCGTCTATCGAACAATTGGCTCTTTGGTGCAATTAAAAATCGATAGATATCCTTCTCATATTAACTCCAACTGCATATACAAATTTACATGCATATGCGGGAGCAGTTACATTGGAAGGACAGAAAGAAGGGCATATCTATGATTTTCTGAACATGTACCGAAAAGCCTATATCTAAAGGGAACAAATGCTTTAAACAGTGCCATCGCCAGGCATCTCCTTGACACGGGTCATGAGGTGGACGTTGCAAGATCGTTCAAAATTATCAAAAGACAAAACAGCTCAATTCTCCTCAAGTTTGCTGAAGCCATTTCCATCAAGCGCCTGAAACCTGATTTATGCATCCAGAAAGAAGCGGTCATCAGTCTTTCTTTGTCAACCCTGGTAACTGGATATTTTTATCTCTCATCGGAATGCGTAATGCTGAAAAGTTTCGATTTTTTCGATTGATTTTTGTTTAAAATGAACTCCGTGCAAGTAGGTTAAAATTATTTTTGTAGATATATATTCAATAATGTCTTTGGCCTGTAAGCAGCTGACGAGAAGGCAACGAAATACACAATGATGGTAACACTTTATTCTGCAAAAACTGTAGTTCTTGCTTTATTCAAATTCATTGGAGGGAATAAATGTATGAAAGCTGAGATAATCAGCCGAAGAACATGAGATGTAATTCTTATACTGTACTTTGAATATATTCAATTACATTTTTTTCAAAATTAACAATTAGGTACAAGTACACAGGTAACCATAGGCATATGGACCAGACCGACAACTTATATACATAAGCTTGTAACGTGTTTGTTTTAAATCACACTGGTAACGATGACCGCCATAATTAACAAGTTAAAATCAATGTAGTATGAACAGAATATAGTTAAACTCACTGTATAAATATCCTTATTTCTATTCTTAGCATCTGCTACACAAAGGAGGAGAGGCCAAACAGTCACACGAAATCGATCAGGGATTCCCTTGAAAATTCGTCGGGTTAGCTAACGAAATAGAAATGGTTTAATAAAAATACTTTTTTTAGAAAACAACAGGATTATATATGGGTAGCATGCAAAATAAGCTCAAGGGATTTTGTATCAAAATTTCCTAGATCTTGAAATAATAGAGAAGATTTGTAGCTCAAGTGGATGATTTGCAATTAATAGTGTTCTCTGAGCTGGTTGGTTTAGTTGCGGAGCTTTCGTCGTCCCCCTTCTGGACAACATTCCTATTCAGCGCAATTTCTAGCATGAAACAAATAATTACTGAAGATAGCAAGTTTACATTCGAATCAATCAATATAAGATGTGTGACTGGGATCCTCAAGACACTATAAACCAATGGCTAGGAAAAATCGTTCTCAATGGTACGGATGTATTCACCCTTTGCGGTCACCCAGATCTATTAAATCGTTATCGTTCTTTCTCCTGTATAGCTTGATCCATTATGGTTTCTCTACATGTGTTTGTTTTTTATCCTTCACTATCATAAACGGGGAGTAATCAGACCTACAAATATCTTCTAGTGGTTCCCTGATTGAAATTCTATTTTAAAAAAGGAGGTGTTAGGACGGATAACCTATCGTTGTTAGCCGTGAAGTTACAATTGGTGCGCGCACTGACATGATAACCTGATTGGACAGTTTCCGATTGATATATTTTTGGAGGATATTCAAGGTCACAATTCAATCAGATATTGATTATTTACGTGTGGTTTAAATTCCCGTCGATTTGTAAGCAATATGTATATCTTGTATTTTGAAGAATGGAAGTGGTTGCTGTTGTCGCAGTCCAATCTGACTGTTGTGTTTACCTCAGCGTGGGGAATATTTTCAAGTGGTCAGTTGACTATTAGTGTCATATCTGGAGAGGCATTATGGTCAATTCAGGCTACAACCACAAAAACAGTAACACTCCCTTATAACATCACTTATGCGTGATTTTATGTTAAAAGTTCGACGTTGAAAAATCATTTTTAAAAGATAGTGAACTGAATGTCATTATCCTCCTAAAGTAACTACAAAAAGAATACCATGTGTATAAGGAAGAGGAAGTGTGTTCTCCACCATCGGTATACATCAATTCGTAGTATATGACCGTGTGCCTTACTTACTTTTACTTTACTTCGGCTATCTCCTACGGGAGGATGAGCCGGCTTCATGAACGTCTCGAATCATCGCTGCCCAGGCGCGGCAATTTGTAAGAGAGTTCATGAAGTTTCATGGGAATTTGGTACGAGTGATGTCCCCAGCATCGCTCGGCCTTTTGTTTGAGAGTGCAGCTCTAGCCTTTACACAGCCAAGTGTGACCTACAAGGCAGTAGGAGTGGAGTAAGGAGTCCACTATCCATTGGCAGCCGGTGACCGGAGTTCGGTTCATACGCCTTTTTGAATGGGGCCAGACATCCAGGACATCCAACAAGCCCTTTGTCCATACGTCTGCCGGTGAGCTCCAGTGAGCTTCATACGCCAGTCGTTGGAGGTTTGGAATCAGGGTTTAGCCATCTCCCCTAGACCGTCATCCAATGGACAGTCAACCCGGTGGAGAGCGCCGGGCATCCGCTTTCGCCCTCTCACTTTGGTGAGAAACACCTCCGCCACGTGAAGGCAGTGAGTAGGACTTCCTCAGGAGAGGCTATGTAAGACGCCCGGTCATATGGGAGCATTTCAAGAGGTGTGCGGAGGGTGGCCAACCCGCAGCGCAAAGCACCCACCCCCGACCATCCTGAGGCTTTGGAGGCTACCGTGTGCCTAGAACTAATCCTAAATATTTAACTAACCAGTCTCTAGTATTACTGCTTACTTTCAACCAGCAGTCACTCAGTAGGTAATTATCAATTATTGATTATGATTATTCCTTTAGGTTTCGAGTGGGACACGCATTCTGTGTCAGCTAGCATTATTCCGTTTAGGAAGGCGATAATTAGGCATGCGTGACACATGTCCTAACCATCTCAATCGATGCATCTGCTTCACAATCTCGTCGATTGATTTTCCCTCCTTACCTAGCCCTCGACTGAATCCTAACGTTAATATTGTTCACCTTATTATGCCACCTAACATGGGAGATAAAACGCAGGCACCTATGATCAAAGACAGATATCATCAACATACAGTCTAGCACAGAGAAAGGTTAGAGATAAGTGCCATTAAATCGAAAACATAAGTTTAAAGTTTTATGTTCATTGGTTGCTAATATTTTACGAAAGGGTTAAAGGTGTAACTCAAGGTACAGAAGTACTATAACATGTAGATCAATGACCAATCGACTGTAATTAATACTCACGACTAGGTGTGGAACATTAGCCCAAGCACCTGACTTTTAAATTATTGATTTAAAACCTGGTACAGTACAGGTATCAAGAAGACGCTCCAGACAACAATGATAAAACAATATATACAGATATTGGGAGTATGAATATAGGACGTCATCCAGAAAGGAAGCAAGTATCTTTGACAACATCAAACAACATCTGCCATTGATGCCATCGGAAGCTAACAATTCTAAACGAAGACAGCGATGATTGAATAAGCAGAATCATCGAACATCTTCAGCTCACAGAGGCCAGGTATCACAGGGCGTTGAGCAACACTGAGCATACTAAAGCACTGTAAGTAGACCCAATCCCTTTGACAGCCAGGCTGACGCGTCGTGACGGTGGCTAAAATTCGCGTTAGCCTTAGATGTTGATTGGATCATTGAGTCTTAGTCTGACATATAAATACAAAGGAACACTTAGTTGGAATCATAAACTATGAAGACGAATATTTCTGCTGGTAAGAGGAAACCAAAAGTGATAATAATTTCGGTGAATTTTCATCAAAAGTACAAGGTGTATGAGACATCTTTTTTGTCTTTCAATAGACAGAGACAAGGAGAGACATAGAGAAATCAACATACCAACAGATTACAAAATATGTTATGATTGCCAAATAGCTATGAAATTGTTAAATATTTTATTCCTTAAACTGTTATATCATGAGCTTTTATCTTCTTAAAATTGATTTTCTAAATACCTAAATTTTATTGTGAGGAGTTTCAATGTTAACCCGCATATTTTCAGATAAAAATTAATCATAAAAAATCAACAACAAGAAACTGTGGTATGCTAATGATGATGATAAGAAGATGATAAAGAAACTTTTTCTCAAAAGAGAGAAGAAAAATCTCAATTTTTATTTCTTGGCCTTTAAGATGAATGTAACGTTTTATAATAGAGATTACTTATTTAGATTGAATGTTGTCTTGTATAATATTTAATGTAATGCTGGCGTGAATGTGAGAGGCGTTTGGGAGAGTTGGTAACAGCCAACACAATGCAAGCTAACTAACTAGCTAGTATCATCATCTCTCCTCGAGTAGATGTTCGCAGATATTCAACTATCGATTATTCAGTGAGTCTGTACTGTGCAATAGTTCGCTCTTTCCTCCCTTTTGACTGTAACACATAGTCATTGAAAGTGGAAGGCACGAAAAGGTTGGTTATTTTACACCATAGATATCTGCATTCTATCTCCCGTATTAATTGATATAATATGGTGAGTAGTATTCAGGTTAGTTGTCAACTGGTAGGTAAGATAGGGAAGTCAATGAATAAGGTTATGAAGGCATATCGATTGTGATGGCTAGGACAAGTGTTATGTGAATACCGAGCCACCAGCTGGTTTCTCAACGAGCAACTGTTAGCTGACATAGAATTAGGTTGGAAAAGATTGAGAGGTGGCCCATGAAAACTTGCCATCAATCCACGGAGTCTTTGATAGCCGATTTTAGCTTTGTAAAGAGGTGTAGACAGTTTAGTTGGCAACCTCAGGATTCTAAGAACCAATGACTGGAGACTGTTAGCAAGATATATTAAACGGTTCTCAGTAGAGCATATCCCAGACCCATTAAATTCTCGTGTTTTTCCATATTACTATCCTTTCTCCCACATATATCGGCTTACTATAGTTCTCTTAAATCCCTATATGTGTAATACTTGGACACTGTGGCAATATGCAATTCCATATTAATATGTTGATTAGATATATCACACAGCACAATATATTTTTCATAAGCATTTCATCAATTATAATCACACAACTTCGAAACTTTCGCTTTATGGTTTCCTTTATTTCTTCCCATTCGTCGTCGTAGGGGTAGTAGAATTTTGTAGATGTCTGGGTGGACAGGTGTAGAATCATTCCTATTACATGCATCTTTAGTTGATTTGATAAATAAAGCTTCACTCACTAATCTCTCCACCCACCCTGTTACATTAGATTTCAGAACTGTCATCTTATCCCATCCATCCTATTGTATGGTTGTGTATAATTGCATGCAGTGAGTGACATAACTGAACTATTCTCCAGAGCAGAAAAACCTAACAAAATCTAGATTAGTTGACCCCAATAATAAGATAGGAGATCTGGAGAATAGTTTAGCTGTACCACTCACTACATGCAATTACACACCACCAAATAATAGGATGCGATAAGATGGCAGTTTTAAAATCTATTGTAACACCAGTGGGAGGGAGGGATTGGTAACGGAAGCTTTATTTACCGAATCAACTGCGAACACATGTAATAGGAATGATTCACCACCTTACGGTTTTACCTTAAACCCCTCCAAATGCCAAACAGTCAATTTCACCTTTAGGCATAAATCTCACCTAAACAAACTGGTTAGCAGTCACGGGGTATGCAACAGGAATGACACGGAATTAGAAACCAAGTCGGAAATTAAATACCTAGGCGTCATTCTACCTGCTGATCTTTCCTGGTCGTCTCATATCTTGATGATTTCTAAGAAAATATTCCATCTTACCTTCTACATCAAGAAGTTAAGACATTCTGGTATAACCCAACCCTTACTCCTACAATTCGTTAACTCTCGCATTCTGCCTATTATTCCTTATTGTTCCCCCTTAGTTTTTCCTGGGCCGGCTACTGAAGAAACACTATATCTTATTACGTAGGATGTTAAAGGTTGTCAGCAGGGTAAGCAACGTGCCACTTAAC